GGTAGGGCGAGGAGGAGCCAGGGTACGGGCTGAAGTCGAAGACGTACAGGTCATCACCCTCCGCCGGCTCAGGAACGTCCTCTGGCAGCTCGATGATGGCAATGCCGACGGGGACGCCGTCGTAGTCGTAGACCACCACAACACGACCATCGATGTCCGCGGAGGTAAGTCCAGTCGTCACCTCGACGTCATTCACCGCCGTTGGGAGGGATCCTTGGATCACATAGCGCACCTGCGGCCAAGGGTTCTGGGGGATGTCGCCCTGGTTCCAGTAAGGGTTGCCGGGTGCATCGGGGCTGGTGCCATCAAAGATTTGGACACTGCAGCTGTTGGCCGCCGGACCGGCCGAGGTGCACCGCGGGTCGACGCCCTGAGTGAAGATCCAGCTGAGCGTCTGGGTGCCGTCGCCATCGTCGGACAACACCTGCCATGAATCAGTTGATTACCAGCATGACATGTTATGAGTGGTGACAGCTGGCAGATGCCATTACGACAGCAAACAACTTTCAAGCATCTTTACGTGACCTCGCCTGCACCCCACCAGATGTCACAGGCAAATCCCCGTTGTACCCAGGGAATTCCTCGAAGACCGTGGTGGTGGAGGGCTCAATGATGCCACATGCGATGCGCGCACCGGTAACATCATGGATCACAACCGCACGTCCCAAGACGTCCTCGTTGGAAAGGCCTGCCTCCACAATCTCGGAAAGTACGTTTGCTGGGTCCGTGCTGGAGTCGTATCTCACCGACAGCCAAGGATCTTGCGGGATGCTGCCCTTGGCTTCTTCAACCAGTAAAAACGGAATCTTGTTCGGGCATTTTGCTAGACCGAGAACTCAAACGACGTGTGCTTGAATAATGGAAAGCACCCTTCCTAAACCCCCTCAACCCTGAACCTGAAACCCCTCAACCCTACACCCCTTCGCCCAAAACCCTAAAGCGCTCAGTGAGAAACCGCGTATTTGGGACCAAAGGCCCAAGCTTGCAAATCTTAAGCCCTTAACCCTATACAACACGAACTTTATGCAGCCCCTACCCTAAACCCTAAACCCTAGATCCTAAATCCCTCCATGCCAACATGGAACCCCTCCTCAGAAGCTCTGAATGTCACGGTCCCCTAAAATGTGGCGTATAAGTATGAACATGTATATGGGTTCTAGTCTAAACTTTTAGTATCCCCCTCAATAACCCCTATAATACTCTCCTAAATACATACATATATATATATATATAACTCCCTTGAAGGAGTTTACACTATAGCTCATATGGGTTTTTGTGCTAGAGCCCCTACACCTTGAAGCAGAAAATCCTTGAGATGCCCAAGTGAGGGTTTAGAGGTTTAGGGTTTAGGGTTTCTTCACGATTTGTTTCTTTGCTTCTCTCCCTGAGAATCCAGATAGCCCAATGTAGGTGATGCTTACAGACTTTGGGGCCCAAAGTAGGTTCTATTTGTATACTTGCATCAACCCTAAACCCTAAACCCTAAACCCCTTGCATCTCTAGGCTTTGGCTTGTACCTGAACTCCGACAAGCATGTCGAATTAATGGCCGGTATGTTGGGCCACGACTCTACCTGCGTCCTGGATGGTCTAGGCAATAACCGAACAAAATCTGGTCTTTCCAAATGCAATGGTTACAACAAAAAACGAGCTGTATGAGGCCCTTGTAGGATTTCGACTTATCTACTATTACTGGCTGAAAGCTATCCATACGGCACACTTGCCCCCATACTCCATTGGCCCATTTGAATTCAGTAAGGTTTTGGGGCATAATATACATCTCAACCACTCCTTCTAAACCCTAGACTGTAATTGCAGCATGAATTTCAAAGAATCATTTTAGCAATCACGCAGTCAGACAAGAATGATCCCGAATCCTAACGGTACAAGCAATCCATTTTTGGGGAAACCCTAAACCCCGTAGCAGACCCCAGCGTCGCTGTCCCAGAAATGAGGGCCAGTTGGTTCGTCGCAGCTGGTGCCTTCGCAAGAAGAGCATCTGAACTATTTCAGGATGGAGGGTTTTGGGCTACGGGCTTAGGATTTAGTATGAGGGGATAAGATCCTCAATATGAAATGGAAAAGACGCTGGAAATTGACATGAAAACCGGCATCAAAACGGGGAGTTATAGCGAGCCTATGTCCTTTCTTAACCTGAGGGTTCTGCTTGCTTTTGACATATGACCCTTACAAAGTAGATCATCAGTCAAACACATACCCGCATTCATACAAGTGCCCAATGCCCAAAGTAGTGAGAATGCATGACCTTACGCGAAATCATGAATAATATCACACTGGCGGGCACCAACATCACAATACGTCAAAGGTACCCACAACGTGTCCCATGTGACATGATTGACTTATCTCCATATGAGCCATAGTCTAAACGCCCTTAATAACCCCTCGAGTAGTCCCCTCTATAATCCCTTACAGAATCCCCCTTTTGGGAATTTAGACTATAGCTCATATTGACATAGGGCAGCTGGCTTTGGAGATGACGGATATGTAGGGCTTAAAACTCCTCAGGCTCCTAGGTGTTAAGTACCCATTGGGATAATAATAGGGTTATATTGGGGTTATATTGGGATATTTGAGAATAACATGGAAACTACTATAACGGGTTACATATATACATATATGTAAATATAGGGTATCAAGGTGTCAGCATGACGGTTTGGTCCTGCATATTGAACAGGATATTCATACACCCACCAATATTCGCATACACTCACCAAAGTTTAAAACCAGAACCCTACTTCCTATAGTAAGCTGATGCAAGCTCAGTACTTTTGATGCGGTTGGGGGGCACTTATGATGTCTCAATGCTTACAGTAGCGCCAAAACGCGCACCGCATGAAAAAGCCGAGTCTGGAAAGGGAGAATGATGAAGGTTTAGGATTCACCAATTGGGGGATTCTGGCCCTGCCTTCATGGATGTGAATGCCACAGCAGTTGGTACCGGTGCACGGGCCGTCGCATGCGGGGTCGAGGTCTGTAAGGCTGTAGGCAAGGCGAGTGGTGCCATCGGGGAGAGACTCCACTTCCACCACTCCCTGTGGCTGGTAAGGAGATGAGGAGCCAGGGTAAGGGCCGAAGCCAAACACGTAGAGCTCGTCTCCAACCAGTGCCGGGGTCGTGGTTGTGGTTGTCGTGGTCGTGGTCGTGGTCGTGGTGGTTGTGGTGGTTGTGGTGGTTGTCGTGGTTGTGGTGGTGGTTGTGGTTGTGGTGGTGGTGGTGGTGGTGGTGGTGGTGGTGGTCGTCGTGGTGGTGGTGGGTGGATTGGGATTCTGGTCGTTCACATTGTCCGCGATCTCCTCGCGATCTTCGGGCGGCGCAGTGCACACATCCACGATGCAATCGCGCAGGATGTCCTCCAAGACCTTTTGAGGGCCGGAGGTCGCGGTGCCCGGGTAAGCGACGCCCTGCAAGAAGTCCACAGTGGTGTGGCACAGGTTTTTAGCCATTTTCAAAGTGAAGCCGTCCGGCAGGTTGGCGCATGCTTCTTCGGGCGTTGGTCCTGGAGCAGGGTTGTCTGCCTTCTTGCAGACGCACAGGAGATCTCGGAAGCGCCTGGTGTTACAATTCACCTTGTTCGTGTCAATTTCATCAAGGCTGGACACACTGGCTACGCACCTCTCACCGTTCGGCTGGTCAATGGCCCTGACACATGTGGAGCCCCTCTCTTCACAGAATTCATTGCAATTATTGCGCTTCTGCAGGGCAACGTAAGCCACACAGTTCTCGCCATCAGCCTTGGCTTCCGCGATCACAGGGTCCTGGTTGCCCCTGCACGGCACAACCTCTCGGCCCTTCTTTCTGAGCTCCATGAACTCGCAGCCCGGCTCAATCTCTGGAGGGTTTGCAGGCAGGTCACATCCTGGGACAGAGACCCCAGTCTCGGATTCACAGAACGAGCACAGCTCCCGGAATGTTGGGTCCGGGAAGAGCATTTTGGGGCCAGGGGGAATGAATGCACCGCCGAAGCTGGGAGCTCCGCAAATTCCCTGGTTGGTTGTAGCATGGCTGATCAAACGCAACTTCCCATTGTGCAACAACTGAGGTGCCCTCCTGAGGAGCTTTGTGTTGACGTTGAGGCGCACACACTTGTCATCACTGACGATGTTGACACCCCTCTTGAGGCTCTCAAACGTAGGGGGGACAACGCTGGCGCCATCGGGGTTGGACACCGTGTCGTTGACAATCACCACCACGTCCCCATCGTTCACCTTCATCGCCACGCCAGTGGCAACCGCGTTGCCATTCTTGCTGTACGGGCACTGGAAGACCTGCAGCTCGAAGTCCCCGCCGCACTCAGTGGAGGAAGCAAAGCTGTAGACGCCATAGCCCTGGAAGTCGAAGACGTTGGGAGATCGCCAGCTGTCCGTGATGTGAACATCGCCCCACCAATCGCACCTGGAGAAAGCTGGGTCATTCGAATCCTCGATGCCCTCGCACTCGCAGCTGCGGTGAGCGTCCGCTGCCGCAGCCGGCGCAGCCAAGAAGGCCGCGGAGGCAAGCAAGCTCCACAAGGTTCGGTTCATGACCGGGGCGCGGGATGCCTCAGGACGCAGCGCCTTAGGGGTGAGCCAATAGCTTGAGTCAGGCAGAAGTCAGGGCCTGTCCTTCAAGGCGCAGAACTACTATTTATCATTATCTATTACTATTTCTAATATTACTATTTGTTCATTCTACTATTCTTCTTATTAGTACTACTACGACTACTGCTTTGTTGTTATTGTCATTACTACTACTACTACTACTACTACTACTACTACTATTATTTCTACTGTGATCAATGTCTTGCAGTCGGAACACATGCGAATCGAAGCTGCCATGGATTGTGGGACTCCAACGCGCTAATGCAACACGATTTGATAGAACCCTGCATCCCACCAATGACAAGTGGTGTGCAATACATTGACGTCATTACAAGAATCTGCGCCTTAGGTCAAGCAGGGTAAGCAGCAGCCTTTTCACATCCTGGCACGATGCCTGGACGGTCTTCTGGGCACATGCCAAAATTAAGCTCCCTTTGTGAGGTCCTTGCATTTGGGATGCCACTCTTGTGCAACATGCGTGAAGCTTAAATTTTGGCACGTAGCTGCTTGAATTCTCACCGTGAGTCCAACATGCAGTAAACGTACCCGAGAGCAGGGAGACTACAGCTGATAGTGCGCCTTGCACCACCGAAGCTCAGCAAATCCACGAAATTACATTCGTCACTTTTCTGGGATATGTTGGGAGGAACCCCACCCGGCAATAGTGGTATGAATATGTATAAAGGGCCTTAATATAGTTACTGCTATCCCTTGTAGTCACTATAACAAGGTGGGGGTCCTCCTGAGGGACGTGGTTAAACATGCGCTTGTCCTTCCCTACTGGGCTTCGGTAAACGTATATCAACAATGACCCAGTGAGTCGATTTTTCCATCCCAGGTGGTGCAAGTTTTCTTCTTCCATCCACAAACCCTAAACCCTGAACATTAAACCCTAACAATATTCTGAGTCGTGACCAAAGCCTGTCCTACCATGACCCTGGCTGATTTCGACTTTTGACTACAAAGCCTCCCCAACCAGAAAGCCATGATAATTCAGGTTTTGGGTTTGGGGTTTTCAAGCTACGTTGGGGGGGAGGGAGTCCAGAGAGACTTGGTGCAGCCCTACAACCTGAACCCTAAGCCTACATCAGCTATGCACTTGAATTCCCATTGCTGCTGCTCACGTGCTCAGGACGGTGCGTCGCCTGGGCAAGTTATGGACTTCAGACTTACGGGCGTCGAGGTCTACATTATGCAGGGATCACTTCGCGTGCATAGACATGTTCAGAGTATGTACATACATATATATATATACATATTCACTTATAAATATACAGAGTATACATGCCTGAGGATGTACGCGTTTAGGAGTGTACTCCTCCAAAATACCCTTAAGATCCACACAACTAGATCCCTTTTGAAGTCCAGAAGTCTCTGCAGGGTTCCTCTTAAGCTTCCATGCTAGTTTGGAGAAGGGCAGGGTTCACGGGACTTACAGCTCAACATTTGAAGGCTCATAGGGATATGCCATAACCCCCAAACCCTATCAGCTCCCTGTCCAACTACTCGTGTCCATAAACCCTAAACTTCTAAACCCTAACCCCTAAACCCAAACCCATAGCGGCGCGCAACGGCTTGCGAGAAAGTGATACGGGGCCCGGATAACAACCAACATCATGATTAGGTGTTCTTGAGGTACCATATATATATATACACACCATTATATAGGGGATTATATAGGGTTTCCGGTTGAGGGGTGCCCTATATATAAATATACATATGTAGATACATATATATGTATATATACACTGTTATCTAGGGGATTATATAGGGTTTAAGGTTCAGGGTTTAGTGGTACCTTATATATATACATACATAGATACTTACCATATGAGCTATAGTCTAAACTCTGCAAAGGGGTGGCTCATGTTTATACAAGCGACCCATGACCATAATGAAAGGTCATTGTCCCTGAAGCCCTGACCTTGAATCCTAAGCCCCGTACGTCCCCGATACTACTTCAAAGGGACCACAACATCAGTAATAATTTATGCCCCTATAGTATGTACCTTCTAAGGAACTTGATGTTGTACGATTTAAGAATCCACATGTCTAAGCCATGCATATAATTTCACCAAATTTTTGCATTCCAGGCAATACGGATGATTTCAACCCCGAACAGATAGCTAAAAGTGACGACCCCGCAGCAAACACAAGACAGACATAATAGGATCCCATGTTTTGAGTGCCTTCAACTACCGAATAACCCTCGCCATCTAACCTAATCCCCTCCCCTTAATATTAAACCCCCTAATATCCCAAACACCCCCTTGTGGTATCTTATAATATATTGAAATATTGTATTGTCGGGGAGGGAAGCGGGGTTTCATATTAAGGGGAGGGGATTGCTCCACGGCCATGAGATCGGGTAGACATAGACGGTCCAAGTAACCAAATGATGGGGGTTTAGGCCCGAAACACTATTCCTATTATCGTATCTGGGGCCTAAAATCCTGTTATTTGGGTACTTGGACCCTTGCGGTCCTATGACTTCAACGGCTTTCCTCTTGGGTGTCGCCAACAGACGTTGCTTGTGGAACGTTAAGAGAATACGCAATTGTTATTTCATGTATTGGGGCCGTATGGCCCCAATACCTTGAAACCCTTCCGCTTAAACTAAACACTTAACCCATCATAGCCCAGTGCAAGGCGCAGCGACTTCCAAAATCACTTGATCAAAGAAAGTTCGTCCACAGGTTCCAACAACTGGAGGGTTCAAGTATCCAAATGAGTAGCGCTTTTTTGGTGGTTGAGCCTAGTAGATTATATTCCTATATAAAAGACTATATCCAAAAAAGAAGATGTAATCTTAGTCTGCATTGGGTACCTTAGTATCCCCAAAGAGAGCACTTCTCAAATGGGGCTTTAGGTCCCAAATTGTGAAATCTGACTTGTTTCTGGTATCTGGAACCCTGATATTTGGGTACTTGGACCCTCGGGGTAATGACTCTCCCATCCGTATGCCAAAGCCTTGACAATTTCATTCGGCAAACGGTATCCGTATGGCGGGCCCCATCGTGACAACAGCATAATACCCAAAGGGTCCAAGTACCCCAAAAGTAGGTACTTGGGTTTTGGGTAATAGTAATTACAGTACGGGTTTTGGGCAAGTATATGAGCCATTGTCTAAACTCCTAGTATCCCCCTTAATAAGCCCTATAGTAGTCCCCTATATAATTCCATATATAGCCCCCCTTTAAGGGGTTTAGACTATAGCTCATATGATTATTAGGTACGTGGACCCTTAGGGATAGATAATTGTGCTAACACTGTGTGACGACCAATGATGCTTTTTGGGTGGGCATATCTAACTGTATATGGTAGTTCCATAGCGTGTGTTGCTTTACAAGGATGTTATGACCCTAAGGGCCAAGGGACCCAAATAATAGGGTTTTAGGGCCCAAAGACTATAACATTCATGGTATTTGGTACCTAAAGCCCCATTATTTGGGTCCTTGAGCCCTTAGGGTGACTTTTGGGTATATCAAAGACTTTCCGGTTGTACCCTTAATGTTTACAACTCTAGGTTGTAGTTCCTAAGCACCCTTTTTCAGGGCCATATTCCATGGTTTAGGGACCCAAACCCAAGGGTACAAAGGACAAATCCCTGAGCATACGAGCCGGAAACTAAACCATAAACCTTAGATGGGTAAGGGGCACGCTACCTAGACGTCTATACTCTACCCCTTCACTCAGGGTATCTAAGTTCGCATAAAGAAGGTACTAGACATAAACTCAGATACCCTCAAAAGGAGAAAAGCTTACAGGTCCAGGCAAAACTCTCAACCTTAGTCCGTTATAGACCTCTACAACCCCCGACCTTAACCCCTAAACCCCTAAACCCAAAACGCGGTTTAGGGTTTAGGATTCTTTGGAATATCCATGTAACTTGGAGGTAGCTTGGCAACACGACCCGGTGCCTTCCGCTGAACACATGTCTACAAAGGCGTAAGGTTCCGGGTTCAGGTTTAATTAGGGTCTAGGGTTCAGGTTTGAGGTTTCGGGTTCAGGTTCAAGGTTTCTGGCTTAGGGTTCAGGTTTTAGGGTTTGGGGTTCGTGTTAAGGGTTTATAGGGCTTATACACCGCACCAAATTGCCACCAAGCGACATTGAATTGGTCACGATGTGAAGGGCACCCTGCCGTTCAAAGTGGAAGGGGGCCAGCTTGGAAGATCGACTCCTCAGCACAGCACATGTCGTTGCGGGTTCAGGGTTTAGGGTTAAACGTTTAGGGTATTGGGTTTTGGAGTTTTGGGTGTAGGGTTGCATGAAGTATAATCCATGAACCAATAACAAGGGAGTTTGTACCTGATATCTAGGTCTGCTTTCGTAATTTAATGTCTAGGTCACGTACTCTAGGGTCAAGTACGGTTGGGGATGTCAAGGTGTTTGTCTTTTCGAACTGCGTGGTGTGTAGGTTCAGGGTTGGAAGGCCAATTCAAGTGAGCAAGGGCCGAAAATGTCCTCCCTGCACCCCAGTAAACGAGCGTGACAAACTTTGCAAGACTTCGCTGAATAGGAAAGCTTTGCTTTTCTTGCACTCAACATGAAATCAACACATGCCGAGATCATACACCGGAAACACTATACCCCAAACCCTCAACCCCTAAACGGCTAAACCCTTCAACCCCAAACCGCAATCCTGAAGAGTGGGGCAAAATCATATTAGAAACCCTGCTATAGCCTCAGCAGGTGCAACTGGCCGTGAGCCTTCCACAACGTAAAACATCCTCGTTACAGTGGGGACCCGTCGTAATTTACATACCTGTACTTATAAGTTTCATGACTACATGTTCGGAGACTAGTAACTATGTTTGTAAACCACCATAACCCGCCAATAACTAGTAATTCATAGCGCAGGTGTCCCCACCTGTACTTTCATTTGCAATCCCTTCCCGCTGGCATTAAACATTCCACGCAGATGAACTATGGGGGTTTCCCAAAATTAGGGGTACCTTCTTTGGGGGTCCTTATAATAAGGACTACAGTATTTTGGGGTCTATATTGTGGTCCCCCTATTTTGGGAAACTACCCTATGTACCTGAATCGACAGAGAGCCCTACACGTCAGAATAAAGCAGTACACCGTAAATGACACGAAGATCACTTGTATAATGTAGGGCAGATTCCTTAATCAAAGGGCACTGGTCTCTCTGGGCATTTGGGTGCCTATTCGGAGTATTTTGAATTGGGGGGGACAAGCGATCACCTCTCTCAAAGAATCCAGACAGGCACAGAGCCTCAAATTACAGTGGGGTAGAGTCTGCGATCCTTCGGCACCTCACGCCTAAACAAAGCTTGACAAACAACTTGTTTCACTGCTATTTGGAGCTTATGTTGCTCTTGTTCGGTCAGTAGGGAAAAGGGTAGTCTACCCCATGATCCAATGTGCATAGCCGCATAGCCCTGCGCTGACTAGTGTCCCTTATGAAAGGGCATGAAAGGGCTACATGGGGTTACGTGTTAGTGTTCGTAACTAAGACTGTACTACAATCTACCTCAGAAAAGGTAACGTACCTACAACGACATACCCCGAGAAACCTAGAACCTCAAAAAAAAGGTAAAGATACCAAAATATTAGGAATACGTTGGTTGCTCTAGGTAATCCTTACACCCCCTGTATAATCCCTATACCCCCCTTTTTGTAGATACGTTGGTTACTCTAGGTACCTGTTAAAGAAATCCTCATCATTACGAATATGGCTATGATTAGTATTGTTATTATAAATCCGGGTTTAGGGTTTTAGAGCTTAGCTTTTTACTACTACTTCTGCTCTTATTATGGTTATGAGCACCAGAAGAATTCTCACATACCCTTCCATAAGTCGAGTCGGTTGACCAACCATGAGCGCCAGACACTAAACCTTAAGCTTCAATTGGGTTGCTGTTAAGGAACTTAAATTAAGCTACCATAATGGGTATATATAGTAAATAATAGGGTTTCCCCAATATTTAGTAACTTAACTTAAGTTCCTTAACAGCAACCCAATAAACCAACCCTAAACCATCAAACCCTATGCAGGTTTTCAGGGGGACGGGCCTTATAATCCCGTACAAGAAAACCATTCAGCAAATGACTCCATAGGAACCTTGAAAAACAGCATGAAACCCTGTGTGCCGGTACGTTTTTGCAGGCCCCAGAGTGAGCACCAACAGTCGGGATTGGCCTCGAAGAAGCCATGTGAGCTACAGTCTAAACTCCTACTATCCCCTGAATAACCACTAAAACAGTCCTCTGTATAAACCACCCTCAACCCTAAACCTCCCTAAACCCTAAACCCTAAACCCTAAACCCTATATAACCCCCTTTTAGGAGTTTAGACTATATAGCTCATGTGATGGCATGCCCCCATGCTATTTCAGGTTTTGGTTTAGGGTGTATAGAAGCACATTCATAGATATTGGCCCTGTGCGTGCAAGGATGCTCGGGCGTGTGATTTGGGGAGCCATCTTCTAGACATATGTTCAAGAGTTCTACAAAATGGCGTCTTTCGTGGGACACTCGACAAGCAGTCTGCTGACATTTCGCCCACTGCCAAAACTAATCAAAAGACCTGGAAACCAGTGCTTCGCATCTGGCCTCACAGGCCTCACAAAACTTCAAAACGCTCACCTACCTAATTTCCCAGAAAGCGCAATATTCCTAGATGAGGGAATAATCTCTGAATAATACTAGGATCCCTTGTATGATTCAAGGTATATTCGCTAAGAAAAGGGATGTTGGGCTTTCTGGCTAACAAGAATAGCAGCTCTACCACCTTCATGCTTCGCAGCATCCGCCCTCCACGTACTTCTGCAGCGCAGCCAAGAAGGGCTCGAAGTTAGCTTGGCACTCGGACTGGCACTGTGCGATGGCATCGTTGCCCTTGGCAGGCAGCATGAAGCCATTTTTACCTTGGCTTTTGAGCAGCGCTTGGGAAAATATATGAGGGTTGCCCAAAACTAGGGGTTCAATGTTCGGGGTCCCTACTGTTGTTTATTGTGGTCTAGATTAGGGTTCTCCTCTTTATGGGATCTACCAAAGACGGACCCTTGCGATTTATGAGCCATAGTCTAAACTCCTTACAGGGGGTTGCACAAGATTATATAGGGGATTGCTATGGGGTTATTAAGGGAGATACTAGGAGTTGAGACTACTTAAACTCTAAACCTTAAACCCTAAACCCTAAACTGTGACTACTTAAACCCTAACCCGTATAGCTCATATGAAGACTGGGAGACGATTATGGGGATCCTTCCTTCTGTAACAACCGTGAACAACATACCCAGAGGGTCCAAGTACCGAATAATTGGGTACTTGGGTTTTGTGTAATAGTAATTATGGTACATGTTTTGGGTAAGTATATGATTATTAGGTACTTGGACCCTTAGGGATATACACGTGAACCATACCCATACCCTCCTATGTAGTTCCTTGTCCCTAAGCATCCAAGGATTCATGTTTGAAGGAATTTGGGCCCAAAGGCCATACTATGTAGGGTTTCTAGGTGATTTTGATGCTAAGGGTTTGGAGTAGTATATAGTAGTATATTATAACTCCTTGCCAAAGAACCATAACAGACCCAAAAAGGAACTACATAGGAGCCCTTGGGTAGTCTCAACTCCTAGTAGCCCCCTTAATAACCCCAATAGTACGCCCCTATATAACAACCCTATATAACCCCCAATTTAAGAGTGTAGACTATATAGCTCACACACATGTGACGGATTGATGGTCACATACAAGGAAACGGGGCACCAAGTGATGAACACATGCCCGCCCCTACCTGGAGGCCCCAGTTAGGGTTACCAGGAGGGTCTTGGTTAACAGCCTAGATACAGAAGAGCGTGCAGTACTTGGAGACGGGACGGCAAGCACCGACCTCTTCATCCTGATGAGTTTTCCTCTGCAAGAGGCCGACCTCTTCGTTGGTCTCGGTGAGCATAGGCATAGGGCTGAGGGGGCAAAGTCCCTTGGAGCAGAAAACTTGAGCGATGGGGATGATGGCATTTTGCCTTGTCTTGCACATATGCTGGCAACTTGCCGGCTGAGGGTGCTGCGTAGAGCAAATGTCACCGCAAATGTTGTTGCACTTGTAGGCCGGCGGGTGCGTTTCTTTCTTGTAATCGGAGGAGTGGTAGCCGGAGTGAGAGTAGCCCTTGCCGGAGTGGTTGGAGGATTTGGCGGCCACCACGCCTTCAAGGTCGGTGAGCGCATCCTTGATCTGGTCCACTGCCTCTTCCAACTTGTCGATGGCACCCTTCACGGTGGTTTTGGTGTCGATGCAGATCTTGATGGTGGCGCATCCGATGCGGACCCCGTCATAGTCGTACACGATGACAGCGCGGCCGTTGACCTCCGCTGCGCTGAGCCCGGTCGTCACCTTGAGGTCGTTCACCTTCGATGGCAAGGAGCCTTCGATCACGTAGCGCACCTCCGGCCAAGGGTTCTCTGGGACTGCCTCCTGGTCCCAGTAAGGGTTGCCGATGGCGTTGGGGTCCGAACAGCTCATGCCATCGTGGATCTGGACACCGCAGCTGTTGTCCGCCGAGCCAGCCTGAGTGCATCGCGGGTCCAGGCCCTGCGTGAAGAGCCAGCTGAGCGTCTGCGTCACGTCGTCCGACTCGACCTGCCAGTTTGCGCAATGTGTGAGGCTGGAACAGGCAGGGGAATGCTTTGTCAATCTACGCCTTTTGTGTGAGGCTGGAACAGTGCAAGGAAGGACTCTTCCGTGTTGTCAATGTACGCCTTTCGTATAGCTGGATTGTATGTGATTAACAGCCGTGACACCGCTCCTCCTTGGGCCTGCCCAACATATGTTATCAATGGATGAATGGCTGCTCATCTATGGTTTGGGAACGGATGCTCTCATAAATGAGCACCTGCTCTCAGGGATGGAAACCATGCATGATGGTTTTCGCATGGACGTTTGAATGATCCCACGCCGTGGGGGATGAACTTTACTATTGTCAGAACATGGTATAGATGTTCCGGTGAACGCTGGGGCTCGGATGTCCTCGGGGGTATGCAAAAGAAACATGTACGGATTGGGGCATGTTTTGGGATAGGTTCTACAGTATGCTTCAGGGCATGTTTGGAAGTATGCTGGTTCTGCTTGGTAGGAACCAGATTTTGTGAATTTCCAGATCTGCCTCGCAGACTCTATCAGGATATGTGTCTTCTGTCTTTTGGGGTATGTGTGGGGTGGTTAATGTGCTTCCTGACTTTGATGCCAGCTTCTTGGAAAAAAACTCAAACCCTACACCCTAAACCCTCAAAGCCAAGAAAGCCATGATATACAGCCTAACATAGCTGCTTAGCCCAATCCCTAGACTATGTACCATAGTCTAAACTCAGGGTTTAGGGTTTAGGTATCCCCCTTAATAAAAAGCCCTATACCACTCCCCCATGTAATCCCTTATGTAATCCCCTTTGAGGACCATTATTAGCGACCATATATCCCCAATTAAGGGTACAAGGAGGGTACGAACCCCTTTTTCACTGTTACGCCTGAGTTGCCCTGGAACCCTCCCCAAGAAGAGTTTAGGGTTTAGGGGGTTTAGGGTTTGGGGTTTAGTTTTAGGGGGGGTTAGGGTTTGGGGGTTCCTAAACCCTAAACTCAGGTTTTAGCGGGCTCGGAATTATCAAATGAACTTATGGTTGACATCGATTGACCCCACCCTCAAAGGGCAAGCTTACGTCCGGCTGGTGGTAATAGGGTTTACGGCTTAGGGTTAATAACTGTACGCATAGAGTCTCGCTTTTTGACTGCGATGTAAGCCCTCTCTTATAGCACCCAAGCACTAGAATCGTTATGATAAAAACCAAAAAAGACTTGAATTTCTGGAAGCTGTCATATTCAAAATCTAGCCCTACAAGTGGAAGCGGTGTGGGGTTTAGGATTTGGGCTTTTCATTAGGCGGGACCCCTACCTGTAGTAATCAATGTACCAGCTAAAAAAGGCTTGTAACCTAACATGTTGGGTATCTTTTCTTTGGTAAGCGTTTCGATCACTCCAGGTAAAGAGGACCCCAAGTCCCCTTACCTGTTATATCTGTTATACCACATGTATTCTGCGTTTCTTCATCCTATCCCCACCTGCCGGGGTCCCAGTCAAGGGGCCTCTAAACTCCTCAAAGGGTGGTTATATAGGCAGGATTATATAGGGAACTGTGCTTTTTCTCAACAGGGATACTAGGAGTTGAGACTAATTATGGCTCATATAAGTGAATTCGAGTGGGGCAAACGTGGCTATAAGTCCCATACGCTATAGTCTTGGAGTCAAAAGCACAGTACAGTTATGTAATTAGGGGCAGCGCTTTATAGAATCCTCCTTACTATACATACCTTACAACGCCCTAAACCCAAACCCTGTACCACACATTCCACGCCTAACGCCCCCTAAAACCTGAACCCCAAACCCTAAACTGCCGCATACAAGGCCAAACCCTGAATCCTTTGGGCTCAAGCGATCCTTCACACCACCAGAGGTGTCTGGCAGGTCGCCGGCATAACCTGGGTAGTCCTCAAAGACGGTAGTCGTGGACTCCTTGTGGCGACTGAAGATTTGGGCTGGGCCTCCATTTAGAGTTTAGGGTTTAGGGTTTACAGTTTAGGGTTTAGAGTTTAGGGTTTAGTAATTTGTATAAGTAGAGAGATTCCAACATAGACCCAGAAATACTGTAGTCTAAAATCCTCATGCAAGGGACCCCCAAAATGGCACCCTAAACCCTAAGCCCTATAAACCCTATGGATCCCCTGAACCCTGAACCCCTAAACCCCCAAACCCT